TTTTATTTCAATTTTTTAGTAGTAGCACCCTCACCCGAACGCCATCAGACAATCAAAATTTGGTAAAACCGAAAATAAAAATTTATTTCTTCCAAATTTAACCATTCTAATCATCTGAAATTTTCCAGAGTTCTAGTAGGGACTGAGCCCTACTCAATCCTGAAGAATAGAGAATTTTATTTCAATTTTTTAGTAGTAGCAGGTCCACCCGTACGCCATTCAGACAATCAAAATTTGGTTTAAAAACGAAAATAAAAATTTATTTCTTCCAAATTTAACAATTCTAATCATCTGAAATTTTCCAGAGTTCTAGTAGGGACTGAGCCCTACTCAATCCTGAAGAATAGAGAATTTTATTTTCAATTTTTTAGAAGTAGCACCCGTCCACCCGAACGCCATCAGACAATCAAAATTTGGTAAAAACGAAAATAAAAATTTATTTCTTCCAAATTTAACCATTCTAATCATCTGAAATTTTCCAGAGTTCTAGTAGGGACTGAGCCCTACTCAATCCTGAAGAATAGAGAATTTTATTTCAATTTTTTAGTAGTAGCACCCTCACCCGAACGCCATCAGACAATCAAAATTTGGTAAAACCGAAAATAAAAATTTATTTCTTCCAAATTTAACAATTCTAATCATCTGAAATTTTCCAGAGTTCTAGTAGGGACTGAGCCCTACTCAATCCTGAAGAATAGAGAATTTTATTTCAATTTTTTAGTAGTAGCAGGTCCACCCGTACGCCATCAGACAATCAAAATTTGGTAAAAACGAAAATAAAAATTTATTTCTTCCAAATTTAACCATTCTAATCATCTGAAATTTTCCAGAGTTCTAGTAGGGACTGAGCCCTACTCAATCCTGAAGAATAGAGAATTTTATTTCAATTTTTTAGTAGTAGCAGGTCCACCCGTACGCCATCAGACAATCAAAATTTGGTAAAAACGAAAATAAAAATTTATTTCTTCCAAATTTAACCATTCTAATCATCTGAAATTTTCCAGAGTTCTAGTAGGGACTGAGCCCTACTCAATCCTGAAGAATAGAGAATTTTATTTCAATTTTTTAGTAGTAGCAGGTCCACCCGTACGCCATCAGACAATCAAAATTTGGTAAAAACGAAAATAAAAATTTATTTCTTCCAAATTTAACCATTCTAATCATCTGAAATTTTCCAGAGTTCTAGTAGGGACTGAGCCCTACTCAATCCTGAAGAATAGAGAATTTTATTTCAATTTTTTAGTAGTAGCACCCTCACCCGAACGCCATCAGACAATCAAAATTTGGTAAAAACGAAAATAAAAATTTATTTCTTCCAAATTTAACCATTCTAATCATCTGAAATTTTCCAGAGTTCTAGTAGGGACTGAGCCCTACTCAATCCTGAAGAATAGAGAATTTTATTTCAATTTTTTAGTAGTAGCAGGTCCACCCGTACGCCATCAGACAATCAAAATTTGGTAAAAACGAAAATAAAAATTTATTTCTTCCAAATTTAACCATTCTAATCATCTGAAATTTTCCAGAGTTCTAGTAGGGACTGAGCCCTACTCAATCCTGAAGAATAGAGAATTTTATTTCAATTTTTTAGTAGTAGCAGGTCCACCCGTACGCCATCAGACAATCAAAATTTGGTAAAAACGAAAATAAAAATTTATTTCTTCCAAATTTAACCATTCTAATCATCTGAAATTTTCCAGAGTTCTAGTAGGGACTGAGCCCTACTCAATCCTGAAGAATAGAGAATTTTATTTCAATTTTTTAGTAGTAGCACCCTCACCCGAACGCCATCAGACAATCAAAATTTGGTAAAAACGAAAATAAAAATTTATTTCTTCCAAATTTAACCATTCTAATCATCTGAAATTTTCCAGAGTTCTAGTAGGGACTGAGCCCTACTCAATCCTGAAGAATAGAGAATTTTATTTCAATTTTTTAGTAGTAGCACCCTCACCCGAACGCCATCAGACAATCAAAATTTGGTAAAAACGAAAATAAAAATTTATTTCTTCCAAATTTAACCATTCTAATCATCTGAAATTTTCCAGAGTTCTAGTAGGGACTGAGCCCTACTCAATCCTGAAGAATAGAGAATTTTATTTCAATTTTTTAGTAGTAGCAGGTCCACCCGTACGTCATCAGACAATCAAAATTTCGTAAAAACGTTTCTTGATTATTGACCATAGAGCGGCGTACGCTTGATTGTATATCGATACACTAGCATGTGTATCTTAACACTTTTAAATAGTTATGTGCGATTCCATGGGAGATTTTAGTTTTTTCGGAGTAAGTAAACCAATTGCAATGAAATTTTGGAATTTAAATCTACACATAAAAAGACATATTTCCACCAAATATTACGTCAAAATATTCAGTAGTTTTTGAGATGTCAAAATTTTGGAAAAATTTTGAAATCGTTATATCTTCTTTCCATCTTGACCAAATCACTTAATTTTTTTTGGAGAAAATTCAGCATAAAAAAACGAAAAAGTTTTTTATATTATGTTTCTACAAAATTTTTGTAAACAAAAAATTTATTAAATAATAATTGAATAACTTTTGAATAGCTTCACGGAATTGAATGAAATAAACACTAAAATAATCTTACTTTTGATTTCTTTAAGATTCCGAAAAAAATACCTGGCAACGAGATTGTCTTCATATAATATTTTTAATATTTTTGTTCACTTATGAGCGTAAACATTAGAAGTTTCTGCTACTTTACGTGCAAATTCAGGTGCGCGCGCAGACCTCTCTTTCTAATCATCTCCGAATTTCCGGTTTCAGAGAGAGAGGTCTGCGCGCGCACCTAAATTTGCACGTTTAGTAGCAGAAACTTGTAATGTTTACGCTCATAAGTGAACAAAAATATTAAAAATATTATATGAAGACAATCTCGTTGCCAGGTATTTTTTTCGGAATCTTAAAGAAATCAAAAGTAAGATTATTTTAGTGTTTATTTCATTCAATTCCGTGAAGCTATTCAAAAGTTATTCAATTATTATTTAATAAATTTTTTGTTTACAAAAATTTTGTAGAAACATAATATAAAAAACTTTTTCGTTTTTTTATGCTGAATTTTCTCCAAAAAAAATTAAGTGATTTGGTCAAGATGGAAAGAAGATATAACGATTTCAAAATTTTTCCAAAATTTTGACATCTCAAAAACTACTGAATATTTTGACGTAATATTTGGTGGAAATATGTCTTTTTATGTGTAGATTTAAATTCCAAAATTTCATTGCAATTGGTTTACTTACTCCGAAAAAACTAAAATCTCCCATGGAATCGCACTTATTCCAAAAAAAAATTATACAATAGGTATATATTGTATTAATGAAGCTAAATGATCATGAAATGATCAACTTGTTTTAATTTCTTCGCAAAAATAAATTAATCAAATTTTTTAGATAGTGTCAATTACAATAATAATAATTATAATAAATTATTTATTTTTGTATTTAAATTATTGAATTTTTGTAGAATTTTCTAATAAAAATTGTTTTAAAAATGAATTTTAGTTGAAATATGAGATAATAATTGAATATTTATAGCATTACAGAGTAATTTTTAGAAATAATTTAATTTTAAAAAAGTTTGAAATTAAAATCTTTGAAAATCTGAATTTTTCATACTTTTCCCTAATAATTTTTGTAAAATTATATTTTTTTCAAATAATAGAAATCCTGCGAAGAATTTTAGTATTTAGGAGAATAATTGAATTTTCACTTCGAATTTTTATTATATTGTTTTTTTAAATAATTAAAAACCTGTTAAGAATTTTATTATTTATGACAATAATTGAATTCTTGTAAAGAATTGTGTAAAATTTTTTTTTTTTAAATTTGTTTATGGCTTCTTAACTTAAATTTGCTGATTGTGCAAAAAAATATGTAATCGGCCTACGTGAGCAGCCTTGAAATATTTTTGTCCTAAAATGATTAAGTATACTAAAAGAATAACTTTCTGTTGCAAATTTATAACTTTTTTTTCGTTTACTTTTATTATTTTGTTACTTAATTATTTTATGTTTTTTTTAGATACTCATTTATGGTCCAAAATTGGACTGCGGGAGTGTATTTTGAATAAATAAATAAATAAATAAATAATTCAAATTCTGTAAAGAATTTTAATATTTATGAAAATGATTAAATTCTTACATCGAATTTTATTAAATTTTTTTTAAATAATTGAATTCTTTTGAGAAAAATTTATTTAAATAGTAGATTTTGAAAATATTTGAATTTCAGCGAAGAATTTCATTATTTTTGAAATATAATTGAATGCTTGGAAAATTTTTTTTTTTAAATTACATTTTTCAAGGAATTCATTTAAAATTTTATTAAAAAATAATTGAATTCATGTAAAAAATTTTATTACTTGTAAAAATAATTGAATTCTTATAACGAATTTTATTAAATTTTTTCAAATAATTGAATTCATGTAAAAAATTCCATTACTTGTAAAAATAATTGAATTCTTGCGAAGAATTTTATTAAATTTTTTGTAAATAATTTAATTTTTTTGGAAAATTTTAGTTAAATTTATATTATTATAAAACATGAAGATATCGATCTTTTTGAGAAATTTTATTTATTAAAATAGAAGATTTTGAAAATATTTGAATTTCAGCGAAGAATTTAATTATTTGTGAAATGTAATTGAATTCTTACAACGAATTTTATTCCATTTTTTTTTAAATAATTGAATTCATGTAAAAATAATTGAATTCTTGCTAGAAATTTTATTCAAATGTTTGTAAATATTTTAATTTTTTTGGAAAATTTTATGAAAATTTAAATTATTATAAAACATGAAGATATCGATTTTTTATAAAGGTTTGAATTTGACATTTTTTGAAAATCTTAATTGTTGTGGAAGAATAATAATGATTAAAATATTTTGTTGATAAAAGATAAATAAGTTACAAGAGAATTAGAAGCGATTATTAGTTTAATTTAATATTAATTGTTATTAACTAAATGACTTTTTATTTTTAGTACACTGATGGCGGGGATTTTGCCGTTTGGAGCAGTTTTCATTGAACTATTTTTCATTCTCACTGCTCTTTGGGAGAATCAATTTTATTATCTCTTTGGATTTTTATTCCTCGTCTTCTGCATACTTGTTATATCATGTTCTCAAATATCGATAGTCATGGTGTATTTCCAACTTTGCGGAGAGGTAAGAATTTTAATTGAAAAATTTCTAAAAACTTTAAATAATAAAATAATTTTATTTTTAAAATAATTTTTTATTGTATAGTTTTTTGCAAACAGTTTTTGTTTTTATTTTCAGGATTACAGGTGGTGGTGGAGAACATTTGTAGTGAGTGGTGGATCAGCAGTGTATATTTTAGCCTATTCCATATTTTATTTCATGACAAAATTGGAAATCACAGAATTAGTTCCAACATTATTGTACTTTGGCTACACGGCGTTAATGGTCTTAACTTTTTGGCTTTTGACCGGTACGATTGGATTTTTCGCTGCTTATGCCTTCATTCGAAAAATATACGCCGCTGTAAAAATAGACTAGTCAAAAAATCCCCCGAACTGTCAATAAGACTACAAGTATTCGTTATGTGTGAATGAATGGATGAGAAACTTAACGAGCAAAAGAATATGAGATCTTTAATATATCATTTCTAGGCGATACAATGATAATTTCCTCTACAATTATCATTTAACACCGTTTCTTTTTAACAGTTTATCCCTAAACTCGTGATTGTATCAAGTTTTTTTTTTATTTGTAAGAATTGAAATTTCTATGAAACTTCAAGTCGTATATTGTCACTGAAAAACTAAAAAAATTTAGAATTAATATTGTACTGTAAGAAATCAAACTATCACTTAACTCGAGAGTTGATAAGAAAAGTTAGTAATTTTTGTCAATGAATTTTGTTTATAAAAAAAATTAAAGATATTTTATATTCAAATCTAGTTTTATATTATAAAAAATATGAAGGAAATATGAAGGAGATGATTATTAACAATTTTGAGTCTCAAGCTATTGATTTTTGTTTGAAATCTAAATTGCAATTGAACTAAAGGTTATCCTTTATATTCTATTGATTCCATCCAAAATGAAACTAAAGAAAAAAGAGAATAACATATTTCAGTCATTCATCAATAGGTTTAATAACATTATCGTAGTTAGAATTTGAAAATATATTTTTGAAATGCAGTTTAATACTCCATTTTACTTTTTCTATAATTACAAACAATAATAGAACGGAAGTAGTGGATTATTAATTTAGGGAAATGAAAAAATCGTAATGGGGATAAAGAAGATTATTTTAATAAAATTTAAAGAAGAATCGTAATTAATTGTAATTTTCATATACGGGATTCGGATATATTTTTTTGTTTAATAATTTAGCGATGAATGAAAAATTCTATTAACTGTTTTGCGATTTTTGATTATATTAGAAAAAATATATAATGTACTTTGTAATCGACAGCAGAATTCATTCATACATAGCTCGTTGAAATAATTGTTAATATTAAGAATACGCATTGTAAATATGTACGTAAATAATTTAAGAATTTATTTACTTCAGCGAATTTTCTTTATATCTTTTTATTAATTACTTTTACTATTTGTGAAATAAAAACAATTCGATATTAATTGTTTTTTATTCTCGATAATTTATCTCTGTTACGAAACACAAATAAAATTGTTTTTTTGAAAGAAAAGGAACAATTTTTACAATATACAATTCAATTATACGTTTGTTTTTTAGAGATTATTTTTAATTCATTTTTTGTTTCAATATTTTTATTTATAAAATTTCTGTACAAGACTTATTTTACATTATAAAATATACTAATTACACTTTAAAATAATTTACTTTGACTCTTGCGCAATGTAACTTCGAACTGTCGTCAGTTGGCGCACTTCGCACAACTTTAAATAAAAGGAAAAAGAAGTATCGAAAATTTTTTTAAACTAAAATTGATTTTGACCCTTAGAAGCATACGATTTTTTATCTCAGTCAAAAATCTGCAAACAAATTGAATACTTTCAGTGAAAGTTGGTCGCCATATTGGATCCGCCATTTTGAATTCTTTTTTATTAAAAGTACTGGAAAAAAATTTTTTTAGAATTTATAAAAAAAACTCTGAATTTTGTGTTTTTTGTTGGCCTCATAAACTATAAAATTACCACGAATTCTAATACAAAACCTTCAATTTTTTTTTATTTCTGACAATAATTTCTTTTTAAATAACTTAATTTTTCAAAAACTATCACAAAATTATAACTCATAAATTATTTAATGAATAATTTTACTTCAATATTTCAAAATTAATTGGATTTCAAAAGAGTTGCGTTTATAAGTTTCATAAATAGATGAACTTTAAAAGATTTCAATATAAAATTTTATAAAATTTCAATTTTGAATGAATATAATTAGATAAAATTTTTCTCCGAAATTCAATTATTTTCCAAAATTCTAATAAAAATCTTGTCAAAATTTCAATTTTTTTTAAGAATTTTCAATAGTTCAATGATTTTCAATATTTTCTAATATAATAAAATTTTCCAACAGAATTTTAAAAAATTTTAATAAAATTCCATCTTCGCAAACATTCAATTATTTTCATAAATAGTAAAACTCATCGCAGAATTTTAATTATTTTGAATACAAGTTTAATCGAATTCCTCGAAAAATGTAATTATTCTGAAAATTTTTATTAAAATTCGTCAAAAACAATTTAATTATATAAAAATTTGATGATAAAATTCTGCATGAGAATTCATTTTCAAGAAACATTCAATTATTCAATAAATTATTTATTTTTTCTTTTTTAAATAATTGAATTCTGTTTGGAAATTTTATGAAAATAGTAAATATTAAAAATCATTGAATTACGAAAAGTTTTTAACAATAATTAAATTTTACAAAGAATTATATTAAAATTTTTGAGAATAATTGAATGTCTGTGCAGCATTTTATTAAATTCTTTTGAAAATAATTGAATTTCCAAGAAGAAATTTATTAATTTTAAAAATAATGGAATTTTCGGGAATAATTTTGTTATTTATCTTTAATAATTGAATTCTTTCAAAAAATTATTTATATATAAATAATTGAAATCTTGGGAAGAATTTTATTAAAATCTAAAAGAATAATTGAATTATTTCAAAAAAATTCAATTAAAATTGTATTTAAAATAATTAATAATTAATTAATTAATTTTTTCGAGAAATTTAAATTAAATTTTTAAGAATAATTACATTTTTCGATTAATTCCTGTAAAATTGTATTAAGAATAATTGAAATCCTGCGATAAATTTTATTATTTATGAAACTAATTGAATTATTGCGAAAAATTTTATTAAAATGTTTAAGAAGAATTGGATTTCTGTGAAAAATTTTGTTATTTTTGAAAATAATTGAATTCTTCATAATAATTTTATAAACATTGTTTTAAATAATTAATTTTTTCGAAATATAAAAAATATTATTATGAAAATTTAATTTTAAATAATCAAATTCTTGTGGAAAATTTTATTTGTGAAAATAATTGAGTTTCTCTATTAATTAATTTAAAATAGTATTCAAAATAATTGAAATTCTTCGATGAGTTTTATTATTTATGCAAATAATTGAATTCTTTCTTAGAATTTTATCAAAAATGTTTTTAAATAATTGCATTTCCATGAAAAATGTTATTATTAGTAAAAGTAATTGAATTCTTATAAAATTTCGAAATTTTTTTAGAAAATGCTATTCTTAGTTAATTGAATTCCTGTGGCAATTTGATTATTTATGCAAATAATTGAATTTTGGATGAATTTTATTATAAATTTTTTTTCTAAATAATTGAACTCTTTTGCGAAATTGATGAAAATACTAGATATTGAAAATAATTAAATTTCGTCTATTTTTTGAAAATAATTGAATCGTTTTAAAGAATTTGATTATAATTTTTAAAAATATGAATTTCCATGAAAAATGTTATTATTTGTGAAAGTAATTAAATTATTGTGAAGAATTGTATAAAAAATTTTGTTTAATAATTGATTTTTTCGAAATTTTTTTCAAAATTCTATTCTAAATTAATTGAATTCCTGTAGGAATTTTTTTATTTATGAAAATAATTGAATTTTTGATGAATTTTATAAATTTTTTGTTTAAATAATTGAATTCTTTTGCGAAATTTTATGAAAATAATTAAATTTCGAATATTTATTGAAAATAATTGAATCGTTTTAAAGAAATTGATCATAATTTTTGAGAATAGTTTTTGATTTCTAGTATTAGCGAATTTAAATTAGTGGAAATTCTCAAAAAAAAAAGAAAAAGAGAAATAGGAGCTTTTAGTGACTGAAATCTAAAAAAAGTACCCTGAATAAAAATTGATTTGAAAATGAATTTCAGTTAAAATTTTAGATAATAATTATCTTAATAATCTTAAAAAAAGAAGCAGTTTTTTTAATTAAAAATAAAAAAAAATGTAGTCAATAGTAATGACGACCATGCATCTAAGGGTTAAGGCAAGCTTTCGGTAAAAAAATGACAAAATTTATACAATATTTAAGAAATAAAGTGTGAGACCTAATTCGTGTGAAACTTCGAAGAAAAACGGCGACTGAGTGCAACACAGAAGCAAATAACAATGGCAATAATTCCAAATACATAAATACGAATAACAGTCGATTCCACTGGCATGTGACATTTAGATGTTGAATAATCATTAGGTGTAAACTCCCCCTAAAACAAAAAAGTAAATAAAAAACTATTTTTCAATAATATTTTGTCTTTTCTTCTATTATTCGTTTACCATTAGAAATGAAGGATTGTCTTTATTGCGCCAACTAAAGGAAGGAATTGTAATTTCTAAAATATTATTCCTGTGAATATTTTTACAACCATGATGAGTGTGGCCATCGACTATTAATCTTGGATTTAATATGTCTAAAAGCTGTAACATGAGTATAAAATGTTATTTATTTATTTTTTCTTTATTATTTATATTATTTATTATTTCTTCCAGTTTAAAAGAATTAAATATTACTGTAATATTTAGACAATATATTTCTTTAAATTGAAAGAAAAGTCGAACCTGATTCGTAGCTTCTTCTGAAAGACATTCCCACTTTTCTCGAAATTTACTATTCTTTATGTCTAACGGAGCTTCGTCCAATTCACTGCATATTTCATCAGATTCACGATACATTGGAAAATGTTGTAAAATAATGGGTCGACTGTAATGTTTTATGGAACTATTTTTTGTACAATCTACAACTTCAGTACCTCGTGCACAATTCAATTGTTCTGAAAAAATTGGTTATGGATTTTAATTTTTCGTATTTTCAAAAATACCTAATAAAGCGTAGAAAATAAAACTTACTTGCAATTTTTTTTACTGTAATTTCAGTTGATCGACAAAGAAAACATTCATCACCCTCCAAAGCCATACTGTTTATCAAAATAAAATGATTTCCTCTAATACTGATCCTTCGAACACTGGGAGCTTTCATTCCATTTACAAATCGTTGATGTAAATACGGTGTTATCACTGTATTGAAGTCAATAAATAAACTACAGTAAACAGGGTTGCCACAAAAAATTAATTTTACTTTTCCCTGATTTCCAGAAAAAATTTTCATTTTTTCCTTGACTTTAAAGAATAAGTTTATTCACTCTCAAAATTTTTATAGATACACAAAAAAAAGTTTCATTACATTTATTTATGAATTTCTTTAATTGTAAAATTATTCGATAAATTCTTTTTTAAATAAATATTTAATTATTATTATTCCATAGGAATTAAGATTTTCAAAAAATTTCAAATTCAAACCTTTATGAAATTCAACAACTTAAAATAATATTTTTTTATAAATAATTTTTGCAAGTAAAATTATTATTACAAGTAATGGAATTTTTTACATGAATTCAATTATTTAAAAAAATTTAATAAAATTCGTTGTAAGAATTCAATTATTTTTACAAGTAATAAAATTTTTTACATGAATTCAATTATTTTTTAATAAAATTTTAAATGAATTCCTTGAAAAATGCAATTTAAAAAAAAAATTCCAAGAATTCAATTACATTTCAAAAATAATAAAATTCTTCGCTGAAATTCAAATATTTTCAAAATCTACTATTCAAATAAATTTTTTTTAAAAAGAATTCAATTATTTTAAAAAAATGTAATAAAATTAGTTGGAAGAATTCAATTATTTTCATAAATATTAAAATTCTTTACAGAATTTCAATTATTTAAAAAAAATTTTATACAATTCTTTACAAGAATTCAATTATTGTCATAAATAATAAAATTCTTAACAGGTTTTTAATTATTTAAAAAAACAATGTAATAAAAATTCGTTGTAAAAATTCAATTCTTCTTCTAAATAATAAAATTCTTCACACGATTTCAATTATTTTTAATACTATTTTAAAAGTAAATTTCTTCGAAAAATGTAATTATTATCAAAAATTTTTTACAAGAATTCAATTACATTTCAAAAATAATGAAATTCTTCGCTGAAATTCAAATATTTTCAAAATCAATAAAGAATTTCAATTATTTAAAAAAAATTAATACAATTCTTTGCAAGAATGCAATTACTTTCATAAAAATTAAAATTCTTTACAGGATTTCAATTATTAAAAAAAAATTTAATAAAATTCGTTGCAAGAGTTCAATTACTTTCATAAATAATCAAAAATTCTTCACAGAATTTCAATTATTTTTAATAGAATTTTGAGTAAATATCCATGAAAAATGTAATTATTTTCAAAAATTTTAATAAAATTCTTCGAAAGAATTCATTTATCAATTTTCAATTATTTTTAATAATTTTTGCAACAGTTCCTTGAGAATTTTCGATTATTCGGAAATTCTTCAATTAAGTAAATATTTAGAAAATAAAAACATGAAATAATTTTTAATGAAAATACAATTAAACTTTTTGAAAAAAATTAATTCTATACAAAATTGTCAGTTAAAAAGTATGAAAAATTCAAATTTTCAAAGATTTTAATTTGAAACCTTTTCAAAATTCTGCCTTTATTGCTTTAAATATTCAATTATAATCTGAAATTTTAACAGAAATTAATTTCTAAATCAATTTTTATTAAAAAATTCCACAAGAATTCAATTATTTAAATACAAAAATAAATAATTTATTGAATAAATGAATGTTTCTCAAAATTGAATTCTCATAAAGATTTTAATCACCAAATTTTTAAATAATTAAATTTGTTCGACGAATTTTAATAAAATTTTTAAGAATAATAATTACATTTTTCGAGGAATTTGATTAAAATTATATTAAAAATAATTGAAATTCTGCAATGAGTTTTGTTATTATTTATGAAAATAATTGAATCTCTGTAAAAAAATTTATTATTTTTAAAAATAATTGAATTATTGCGAAGAAATTTATAAAAAATTTGTTAATTGAATTCATGTGAATTTTTTTGTTATTTTTGAAAATAATTGAATTTTTACGAAGAATTATTTCAAATTTTTTTTTAAATATTTGAATTCTTTTGGAAAATTTTATTTAAAATTTATCGAAGAATGTTATTGAAATTTTTGAATATAATTGAATTTCGTAGAAGATTTTGATTTTTAATCATAAAGATAATTGGAATTTTGACGAGATTTAAAAAAAATTTTTGAACATAATCAAATTTTTGCGAAGAATTTTTTTATTTTTAAAAATAATTGTATTTCGACAATGGTTTGTTACTTCTCCAAAATTCAATTTAAATAATTGAAATTCTGCAATTTTATCCTACTTTTGAAAATAATTGAATTCCTAAAAAGAATTTTATTATTAAAGTTTTTTAAATAATTCAATTCCTTTGACATTTTTATTGTGAAAATAATTAATTGTTTGCGTAGAATTCAATTAAATTTTGAAAAATAATTGAAATTTTGCCAAGAACCTTGTTAAAATTTTTGAAAAAAAAAATTAATTTCTAAAAATAATTTTATTATTCATAAAAATAATTGAAGTTTTGAAGAGAAATTTTAAAAATTTTTGAACATAATTGAATTTTTGTGATGAATTTTATTACTTTTGAAAATAATTGAAATAAATAAATAAATAATTGAATTTCTGCAATAATTTGTAACTTCTTCAAAATTCAATTTTTTCCAGAACTTTAATAAAAATCCCTGACTTTTCTCTGAATTCCCTGACCTGAGGCAACGCTGGTAAAACATTTGTTGATAATATGAATATTCACTAAAAATGATAAATACCATAATGAAAGCCAATATCATGATTGCCGGCCACCACATGCAAATTAGTACTCTTTGGAACGCTGAATATGGAACGAAATCTCTTCGTATAGCCTTCGAATACTTCTGGACTAGACCAAAGACCTTCATCAAATACATCACCTAAAATGAAATAAGAAATGCAAATAAGCAACAAAATTGTTTGTTAAATAAATAAATAAATCATTAGCATACAATCAACTAACCTAATATAAAAACTACGTCAGGTTTATGAATTGCCATCGCAGTTTGAAATGTTCTGTACATTTGCCATTCCCTAAGTAAAAGATATTACATTTAAATTTGTTTTCTTAATTTTTTAGGTGGGCAATAATTCCACGTGAAATTTTCCTACGACATTTTAAAATCGGTTAAATAGTTAAACATATTTTTTTATCTTTGTATAATTACTCAAATTTTCGAGTCATATGAATTTTCGAAATTTGCGGAAATTTTTAAAAAGTAGACCTATTTTCAGTAGCAATTATAAGTTTAAAAGTATTGAGTTTAGAAAAATGTTGTAGTAGAAAATTAGTCGCACCTTCTTAGCTTATCAAACCAATGTCCATTTCGAGGTCCAAGCAAGTGTGTGTCTGCCAGAAACATTGCTCGCACAGGTTTCTCCTCAAATGTTGGACGAACGATTGTTGGATCTAAGTTTCGATGGTCCATGACAGGCCAATGACACTAGTAACAAATGATACAAATTTATTTTTTTTGTCAATGAGTCTCCTACATAATCTGGATAATTATTAATGAGTCATTCCATTAAATTTCGACTAAATTTATTGCCGAATAATTTAAAAAATATATAATACTTTTCAGGAATTATTTTAAAGGTATTAGAATCCCAAAGAGATTCTTAATACCTTTGGTATTAGAATCCTCAAATTTTTTATCATTGATTATAATAGTAAAAATTGATGACAAACTGATTGACGTTTTTTCTATGAGATATCAAAATAAAAAGAAATTTTAAAAAATTTTTTAATTATAAATACAAAAATGTGAAATTTTAGAGATTTGTTGTCTATACTTTCATAGATAAAAAATCGAATGGTTTTTTGTTTTTCAAAATCGGTTCCGAAGATTTTGAAAAAAATGTCTCCCCCTTTTCAAAAATGTGTTTTCCAGAAAAACAAGTTTAAAGGTTTCGTATAACGACGATAAAAATTGTAGTAAACTTTTTTCTTTTGTATATTTCTTTAAAAATGTTTTAGAGCAGTTATTTTTTGATACTAAGGAACATTTTTAATGTGCCTTACATTGTTAATTGTTTACAAGGGGGATGATTTTCAAATAGAATGAATAGAATATTTATAATATTGACATAATACTAACCTGTATAAGAACAATATAATAAATAAAGTACTCGCAAAATGTCATCAAAATTAAAACGGAAGACATAGCCAACAGAATTAAATATTTGCAGGAATATCTCTTCGTTCTTATCATCTTGACGTGTAAAGTTTTTACACCTATTAAATTATTATTTGATGTAATAAAGTAAACACCAATAACACAATTTGTGGCTATTTTTCATGATTTTATTTAAAAAATATTTACAAAAATACGTGTAAATAATTATAAGTAACTATGTCAAAGAGAGATTTTTTAATGTCATTATATATCGTCATTTTAAATTATAAAAACTAGTTTTTATCTTATCTATTTGTTGTATTTGTTATTGTCCTGCAACAGTGCAACATTTGACAGCAGCCGACTACAGGTAGGAGATGAAGGTGCTTTCACAGCCGGCAACGAGCTAAACATAAGGGTGCATTTACAACTTTGTCGGTATTAGTACGTTGCGCCACTGACGAAACACGACAAGTTCCAGAACTACAACCTCCCTACAAGAATACAGTCATTTTATATGTACTACATTATTGCCGTTCAGAAATGCATATTTCATGTTCATGACGAGCAGGCACGAGCAGGTGATAGTAACCAAGGTAAACAACAACAAATTCGAATCATTTTTAACATTTTAACAAGTGATTTTAGTGGTTTATAACAATAATAGACTTTTAATTTACATCAAAAGTGATGTATTAAAAATATAGAAAGTTTCATTTATGACAAACAATTTATTTCTTTCTCGAAAGTTATACTTGGGAATTAGAAATCTAAACTATAAGTTTTCCGGTACTCGGTATTTTCAAAATAATAAGTACGCACGTAAGTATTATCCCATTTACGTAAAATTTTATCATTTTATAATTCTTGATTTTAGTTAAAAGTAATTATTAGTATATAATGCTATTATGAAATATAAAAATATTTATTTCAAGGATTGCAAGTGTTATTTTTTGTTCTATTTTGAGGTTGTGTCATTTTTCTTGACGATGTTATTTTTTAAAAATTTGAACTGAACACGTGAATCTGTTTAGTAAAGCAGGTGTTATGTATGTAACTGAAACATCTGGCAGGTGACAAGCATTAATTTATGTAACGAATTAAAAAATTTACAGGGAAATAAAATCAAAAAGTTGAAAAATAATAAAAATATGGAAAAAAATAACAATCTTTATTAGTTTAAATTTTCGAAGTGTCTATTTCGCTTGACAGAAAAATACACAGTGACGGGCGAAATAAGAAGAATAGTTTATTTTGCCCGTCAGAAGAATAATACAGAATAAAACAGGCGAAATAAGAAAAAAAGTCTATTTCGCCCGTTGGAAAAAAAAAGTTTTCAGAATAAGAAACTGTCGAAATAAAAAAAAACTAGATTAATTCGTCCGTCAGAGAAATTATAATGATACGATTTACAGAATAATGGATTAATTATAGAAAAAGTAAATTATTTTTGCGTATAAATAATTAATCATAACCTCCAATTTATAACAATTTACAAAGGTGTAAATTTTGATTTAATTACAATCGGAAATTTAATTTATGTTAAAATTTTAGGATATATTCATTTTTATATTATTTTATTATTTATTTCTTTACAAGAGACTTATTAATTAAATTTAATTAATTAAATTTATAAATTTATGGTAAATGCGTATAATTTTAATTAATGTAAATTATGTTTATTAATTTCAGGTAAAACTTTAAATAAAAAATGCTTTTAGTAGTCTGTCAATAAATTTTAAATATGGAAAAAAACAGGAAAACTTTAAAGCATTCGACACAATCTCAATCGATATCAAGTAACGATTTGACGGCTCGTAATAAAAAATATGCCTTATGGAAAAATTCTAAAATATCTCTGAACCGTGAGATAAGAAGTAAAAATGTAAATATCAGTGAACAATCTACAAGTCCGCAAAATTCTCAACAAAATGAGTCAAATTTACAAGTGCAATCTAAGTTCAATAAATCTACAGATCGAGGAGAAAAAAGTGACAGTGTATCAATAGTATCAACAAATAATACTGAAAGGGAAATTGCTGAAACGCTTTATTTACTGAAAAAGGAAATTAGCGAGTGGAAAGCACGCGACAGTTCGAGAAGTAGACTGGAAGGTAAATGATAATTTAAATCTTATATTTTCCTGACACTATAAAGAATATTCTGATTAACTCTCAAAATTATTAGATACTCAAAAAAATTTTATATTACATTTATTTACGAATTTCTTTAATTGTAAAATTATTCCAAAACATCAATAACTTCATTTTTAAATAAATATTTAATCACTATTATTTTTCCATAGGAATTAAGATTTTCAAAAAATTTTTAATTAAAACCTTTTTGAAATTCGACAACTTACAAACAATTGTTATAAAACATGAAGAAATCGATCACTCCGAGTCTTCGACTCGGAGCAATCGACTTCTTCATGTTTTATAAATTAAAGATGACCGAGTGATAAAATAATTATTTTATAGAATTATAAGAATATTGTTACTTTGACTTCTTAAAAATTAATTTCATATCTTCAATTCAATTATTATTTTCTAGAATTTTTAAATAAAATTCTTCTTCAAAGCAATTATTTAAAATAATTTTCAAAAAAGTTCTTTGGGAATTTTCAAAATTCAATTTTACGAAATTTATAATATTTGGAAATTCTTTGATTGATATATTAAAAAATAAAAACTTCAAATAATTTAAATAAAATTGAATTAAACTTTTTCAACAAAAAATAATTCTACAGAATTGTCAATTAAGTGTGAAAAATTCAAATTTTCAAGTATTTTAATTTGAAACCCTTTCAAAATTCAATTATATTTTCAAAACCTCAGGCTATAATGATTTTAATATTCAATTATCTAAAATTTTAACTAAAATTTATTTTTAAATCAATTTTTATTAGAAAATTCTACGATAATTATTCCAATACAAAAATAAATAATTTATTGAATAATACTTATTGTCTCTTAAAATTGAATTCTCATAAAGAATTTTATCAACAAATTTTTAAATGATTGAATTCTTTCGACGAATTTTAATCAAATTTTTAAGAATAATAATGACATTTTTCGAGGAAATTTATAAAAAAAAATTGTAAATAATTGAATTCCTGTGAAATTTTTATTGTTTATGAAAATAATTAAATGTCTGCGTAGAATTTTATCAAAATTTTTTTTTTAATAATTGAATTCTTTTGGAAAATTTTATATTTTATATTTTATTATTATTTTATTTTATTTATATATATATATTTATATATTATAATATATATATATATATATATATATATTTATATATTATTTATATATATTTTTATTTTTATTTTTTTTTTTTATTTTTTTTATTATTATTTTTTTTTTTTTAGACCAAAATTTTTGAAAATAATTAAAATTTTGCCAAGAATTTTATTAAAATTTTTGAAAATAATTTAATTTCGTAGAAGAATTTCATTATTTATAAAAATAATAACAATTTTAACAAAAACTTTCAAATCCATTTGTTTACAATTATTCAGTTTTACGAAATTTCGATTATTCGCAAATTCTTCAATTAAATGTATATTAGAATATAAAAACTTGAAATAATTTTTAAAAAAATTCAATTAAACTTTTTCAAAATACATACAATAATTCTACAGAATTGTCAGAAGTATGAAAAATTCAAATTTTCAAAGATTTTAATTTGAATCCATTCATTTATTTCTCAAAAATAACACTATAATGCTTTTAACATTCAATTAATTTATTATCTAAAATTTTAACTGAAATTCATTTTTAAATTAATTTTTAACAAAGAATTCTACGATAATTCAAATATTCAAATACAAAAATAAGTAATTTATTAAATAATATTGATTGTTTCTTAAAATGAAATTCTCATAAACAATTTTATGGACAAATCTTTAAATAATTGAATTCTTTTAACGAATTTTAAAAAAATCTTTAAGAATAATTAAATTTTTCGAGAAATTCGATTAAAATTGTATTAAAAATAATTGAAATTCTGCAATGAGTTTTATTATTTTTGAAAATAATTAAATGTTTGCGTAGAACTTTATCAAAATTTTTTTTAATTAATTGAATTCTTTTTGGTAAATTTTATTAAAATAGTAGATATTGAAAATCGTTAAATACAGGAAATTTTTTTGAAAATAATTGAAATTTTGACCAACATTTTTATTAAATTTTTTTTAAATATTTGAATTTCGGAGAAGAATTTTATTTTTTTTATTTTAAAAATAATTGAAATTTGGACGATAATTTGAAAAAAAATTTTGAAAATAATTGAATTTCTGCGAATAATTTTATTACTTTTGAAAATAATTGACTTTCTGCAATCATTTGTAACTTCTCCAAAATTCATTTTTTTAATTTGTTTTTAGCTAAAATTCTTCTATAAATCCATTATTTTTAATAATTAATTAAACAAATTTTAAAAAATTTAACTAATTTCAGAAGAATTTGAAATATTAAAATTTTTCAAAAATTCGAGTTCATAAAAATTTCTAATTAAATTAATTGAAAATTGAAATTTTAAAAAATTTCAAATTGAAAAATTTTGAAGTTCATCTATTTATGAAAATTGCAAACGTAACTCTTTTAAAATTCAATTAATTAATTTTGTATTAGAATTCGTGGTAGTTTCATAGTTTTAATGGCAAACAAAAAGTCACCAAAATTCAGAATTTTCTTATGAATTCTAAAAAATTAATTTTTTTCCAGTACTTTTAATTAAATTCCCTGACTTTTCCCTGATTTCCTTGAACAATTCTCCTTTCTCTGACTTCCCTGATCTGTGGCAACCCTGAAAATAAATACTTAATTTTTTAAAATTATTTTTTTAATTATTAAAAAAACAAAATGAAGTTGAAAAGTTCTAGAAAAATGACCTCATACGTGTTTCACGTGTATATGATACTAAAAATAAAACAAGAATTCATAACTTGTTACAAGAAATGTTAAAAGGCACCTATGTGTTCTAAAAATCGATTTTTACTTTTTTAACGATTCTTACAGTAGATTCTACGCTGAATTGTTTATTTTGAAGAAAAGAAAATTTTCCTTATTTTAAAAATTAAAATAAAATATTTTTTTAAATTTCAAAAAAATTTGTTTTGATACTTGATTTTGAATTTTGGAAATTCTGCTTAATATTTATAATTAACAATTTAAGGAATATCCGAAAAATAATAAAATTCAAACAAATTCAACGTTACAGTCTTTTGTTCACTGTCACTTATTTTCATGTCAAAGTATAACATTTCTACGAGTTAAAATAGTTCAAATACAGGTGTCTTTTATATAGTAAAAAAGCAGATAAACTTTTTGAATAACAACTTTGTTTGAAATTATTATTATTAGGTATTATTAAGCAATGAAATTTGTTGGAAATCATCTTTACCCCAAAATATTTAACTTTTAACAATTAATTTAGTCTTCCATTTTAAGAAAATATTTGTCAATTTTTTAATTAAAATTAAAAGTTTTATTAACTGTCAAATAGTATATTTATATAGTCGTTCCACGTGGAAGTATTTTCGGAAAAGCACATAATTGGAAATTCCTCAAATTACTTAAGGAAATTTTTCAGAATAGTTCTGGTCATTTTCGAAAGTTTTTGTCACGCTGATTATTAAAAATCTGCAAAGAAAAATGCCATATCATGTCGAATTTTTTTTAGAAAATTAGAGTTAAAAATTAAAAAAGCGTATTTTTGACCATCTTAGGTGTTGAATTTTTTTTAGACTAACTTCTTTCTTACTTTTTTTAAAATAGAATTATCAATTTTAAAAATAATAGAATTTTCGTTTTATTTGCCTTAATTAAATTTTAAAAGAGTTGCGTTTGCTGTATATTCATAAATAGATCAACTTATTCAATAGGATTTAATTTTAAAATTTATAAAATTTCAATTCTTAATGAATTATTGAATTTAAATAGAAAAATGAATTTAGATTTTTGAAAAATATAATAATTAAAATTCTAATTCTCTGAAATTAGTTAAATTTTTTAATATACAATATTTAATTAATTATTAAAAATAATGGATTTATAGAAGAATTTTAGTTAAAAATACTGAAAAAAATTGAGTTTTGTAGAAGTTACAAATTAGTGCAGAAATTAATTATTTTCAAAAGTAATAAAATTCTTCGGAGAAATTCAATTATGTTAAAAAATTTTTAAAAATTCTCTTTCAAACTTCAATTATTTTTATAAATAATAAAATTCTTTGTAGAAATTAATTTCTTTTTCAAAAATTTTAACAAAGCAATGATTTTCATTATCTACTATTTAAATAAAATTTTCGAAAATAATTCAATTATTTACAAAAAAATTTAATAGAATTCTACGCAAACAATGAATTATTTTCACAATAAAAATTTCAGATGAATTGAATTATTTACAATTTTTTTAAATAAAATAAATATTTATAAATTCAATAATTCAATTATTTTTATAAATAATAAAATTCTTTTTAGACATTTAAGTATTTAAAAAACTTTTAATAAAATTCATATCAAAATTTCAATTATTTTCAAAAAATTTTCCTGAATTCAATGATTTTCATGATATCTAGAGATACTATTTTAATAAAATTTTTCAAAAGAATTTAATTTTTTTAAAAATTTTTAATAAAATTCTTTTAAATTCCTTCACAATAATTCAATTATTTTCATAAATAATAAAATATTTTTCAGGGATTTAATTATTTTTATAAATAATAAAATTATTTTAGGAATTAAATTATTTTCAAAAGTAATAAAATTGCAGAATTTCCATTATTTTTAATACAAATTTTAATCGAATTTCTCGAAAAATTTAATTATTCTTAAAGATTTTTTTAAAATTCGTTAAAAGAATTCAATTATTTAAAAATTTGTCCATAAAATTGTTTATGAGAACTTAATTTTAAGAAACAATCAATATTATTTAATAAATTATTTATTTTTGTATTTGAATATTTGAATTATCGTAGAATTCTTTGTTAAAAATTAATTTAAAAATGAATTTCAGTTAAAATTTTAGATAATAAATTAATTGAATGTTAAAAGCATTATAGTGTTATTTTTGAGAAATAAATGAATGGATTCAAATTAAAATCTTTGAAAATTTGAATTTTTCATACTTCTGACAATTCTGTAGAATTATTGTATTTTGAAAAAGTTTAATTGAATTTTTTTAAAAATTATTTTAAGTTTTTATATTCTAATATACATTTAATTGAAGAATGTGCGAATAATCGAAATTTCGTAAAATTAAATAATTGTAAACAAATGGATTTGAAAGTTTTTGTTAAAATTGTTATTATTTTTATAAATAATGAAATTCTTCTACGAAATTAAATTATTTTCAAAAATTTTAATAAAATTCTTGGCAAAATTTTAAATATTTTCACAAATTTTGGTCAATTCTATGATTTTCATTATCTACTATTTTAATAAAATTTTCCAAAAGAATTCAATTATTAAAAATAAATTTTGATAAAATTCTACGCAGATATTTAATTATTTTCATAAACAATAAAAATTTCACAGGAATTCAATTATTTACAATTTTTTTTGATAAATTTCCTCGAAAAATGTCATTATTATTCTTAAAAATTTTATTAAAATTCGTCGAAAGAATTCAATCATTTAAAAAATTTGTTGATAAAATTCGTTATGAGAATTAAATGTTAAGAAACAATCAGTATTATTCAATAAATTATTTATTTTTGTATTTGAATATAATTATCGTAGAATTTTCTAATAAAAATTGATTCAAAAATGAATTTTAGTTAAAATTTTAGATAATAATTGAATATTAAAAGCATTACAGTGTGAATCTTTAAAAATAATTGAATTTTGAAAAAGATTCAAATTAAAATTTTTAAAAATCTAAATTGTTCATGCTTTTAACTAACAATTATGTAGAATTAATTTTTTTGAAAAAGTTTAATTGAATTTTTAAAAAAAATTATTTAAAGTTTTTATTTTCTAATATATATATTTAATTGAAGAATTTTCGAATAATCAACATTTCGTAAAATTGAATTATAAACAAATGGATTTGAAAATTCTCAAAAATTTTTTTCAAAAATTATTAAAAATAATTGATTTAGAGAAGAATTTTAGTTAAAAATTCTAGAAAATAATAATTGAATATTGAAATGATGAAAATAATTTCTGAAGAAGTTACAGTAACAATATTCTTATAATATAAAATAATGATTTTATCACTCCAACATCTTTAATTATATTACATAAGTTGTTGAATTTCAAAGAGGTTTGAATTTGAAATTTTTGTAAATCTTAATTTCTTTGAAATATTAATATAATGATAATAATTAAATATTAATTTAAAAAGATGTTTATAAATATATATATTTTTTTTATTCAAAATCAAAGATGGTTAAAAACACGCTTTTCTCATTTTTAACACTAATTTTCTCAAAAACTTGACATGACAGGGCATTTTCACTTGCAGTTTCAATTTTACTCTAAAAAGAATAAATAATATTTCAATTTTATGAAAACGTTGAAAGTGATGTATAATGCTTGCGATTAGAAGTCATGAAGTCTGACTGCGTAGTGTAATCGGCGGCAGTTTCTCAAGCCGAAATAGCTCAGTTGGGAGAGCGTTAGACTGAAGATCTAAATGTCCCCGGTTCAATCCCGGGTTTCGGCAATTTTTTTTTAAAAATATTCATATATGTATTTAAAATTCAATATAACATTTTTTTTTTTACAGATTCTGAAAAGTTAATAATCAGCTCTGATGAAGAGAAAGACAAGAAAAAGTTTGATGAAATTAATAGTCAACCTGAGTGAGTACTTTTTATTTTATATAATGTAATTTTATGCTAAAGTTTTGTTTAAAAAAAAAATACGGGTCATTTTGTTTCAAACCGTTTCACTTATAAAACACCATCAGCGAAAGGTTGACAAGCGAAAAAATAATTCTTTTTTTCATAAAACGTTTTGTTTATTCAATAAGATAAATTTATTTCATCTGAATGAGACTTTAAACTAAATATTAGAAAAAACATGATTTCATATTTCAGATAAACGCAAATATTTTATTTAGTCAAGATTCTAGTTCCTTTAAAAATGAGTTAGGATTCTACTTCGTACCACTTGTGAAATTTTTTTAAAAATACTTATTTTAAATAATTTTTATGTATAGGTATAAAATATCAGTCCCGGAAAATTTTAATAATAGATAAATAAATTATTCGGGACTATATTTTAACATAAAAACTCTATAAGAAAAATTCTGCAAATAGACATTTTTTACATAATTTCAAAAAATTCAAATACACACAAAAAATGATATAACATTAAAATTTTTTAGAATTATTTTTAACATTTCGGAGAACACACACAATTATTCTTAGATGTTTTATAGTAATTTTTTAACAATCAATTATTTTCGAACAAAGTAAATTAAAATTTAATTTTTTAGACTTAATAAAATTTTGGAAAAAACATGTTCATATTATTTTATAATTAAAATTCATTAAGGGGAGGGACCGGTGAAATTTCCACCTATCGATAATTACGTTTTAAAAAGGGGACAATTTTTTTTTTTTTGCATAATTTATTATCTAAGTCAAAATTAAAAAAAAAAAAATTTCGGACATTTTGAAAATTTTATTTTTTGAAAAAATTAAAATTTTCCAAAATCAATACGATTGATTATTCAGAATCGTAAAAAAAGACTACAAAAAATTTGGCAAAGAAAAATAATAGCAAAAATGTGGAAGTAGTTGAATTTTTTAAGAACTACTAGTAAAATAATTTTAGCCAATCAAAAATGACCATTTTTAGGGGTATCAAAATTTTTTTTTACAATTTTCCAGTACCTGAAATCATATTACACTATAGAAAATTAATAAAAGTAATTTTTAACTGATTTACTTTTTTTTTATTTTTCAATAAATTTCAATTTTTCGAAAAAATTAAAATTTTATGAAATAGTCAAAATTTTTGAAAATTGTTTAGAATTATGAAATAAGTATATAAAAAAATCGGCAATGAAAATTAATAAAAATTACGAGAGTATAGTTAAAATTTTTGTTTTGAAAATTTTGATAAAAAAAGTTTTTAACTGATTAATTTTTTTAAATTTTTCGAAGCATATTTGAATTTAAAATACCAAAATTTGTTAGAAAAAATATTAACCGCCCATAAACAACAAAAATTTAGATGAGTTGGAATTGCACTGGTCCCTTCCCTTAAAAATTTTATTATTTTTTTTTATATTTTTCAAAAATTCTTTCATTTTTAAAAGTATTTATTACCAAATTTCAATTATTTTTAATACATTGTATCAAATTTCAATTATTATTATTATTATTAGGTTTTATCTAATTTCAATTATTTGAAAATTTTTCAATTTGACATTTAATTAAAACACTATTATCGTTCAAAAATTATTTAAAAATATTTTTAAAAAAATAATTTTTAGAATTTCTTTATTACAATTTTTTTGAAAATATTATATCTACTTTAATATCTTTTTAAAATAAACAATTATTATAAAAAATTGAATTTTTGTATTTAAATAATTGATTTAGAGATGAAATTTAGTTAAAAACAGTAGAAAATAATTGAAGTTCGAAAGGACTATAGTTGGAATTTTTAGAAAGTATTCAGAAGGTTTTAAATTGAAATTATAAATTTTATTTTCTGTAGAAAAACAAATAAGAAGTATATAAATATATATTTAACAAAATTATTCAAGTTTTGAATAATATTGAATTCAGAAATCAGTGAAAGGTGAGGGAACCCTAAAAATTAAATTTTTGTGACAACACTGAATTAAATAAAACGACTTTTTTTGTTTTTTAATTGACTAAAGTGATTTTTTTTGCCCCTTGAAGTTGATCAGTATTCGCAGTAAACTCAAAAAGCTACTATGTCAATTTTTATAAGTTCATTGTTTATGGAAAAAATTTTCTGAAGTGTTCAAATAAGAAAGCGAAGGCCTAATGTTAGTAAAATTCATTATTTACTTTTTGCTACATTTGTTATCATTAATATATTTATAGCTATGTAATTGATTAACAATAGTTAATTTGTAATGTTAATTATTTAGTTACTATTCTACTTTTGTGTTAATAGGAATGGAAAGGATTATTAATTTTGTTGATAAATTATTATCACGATAAAATTAAAAAAAATTCTAATTATGAAACAAAAAATGTAACCCCAACAAAACGGTTCGGTTAATTTTTAATAAAATTTTTGAATTTGAATTGTTTGTGCAATAAATTTTTATTTATTAATATTATTTACAATATGGGTAATTTACCCTCGAAGGCTAAAGTCTTACGACAGTTCCGAGGGAGGGTAAAGGGCTCCAAAAGAAGGGTTACGGGTTTTAGTGGGTCGGGCTGGTAGTAGGTCGCCAGTTTATTAAATTTATTATAACATTTATTTATTTATCCTTTTTTTTAAATTCCCTTTTTTTTTATTTTACCAACCTCACATAACCTTGGAGTGCGGAATCCAAGGTATCTGTAGGCAGATTTCCCAAAATTCCCTAAGCAAAAAAAAAAAAAAAAAAAAAAAAAAAATATGGGTAATTTATAATTTTATTGTACATGTGAATTCGTGAAACAACTTATTTCTTACGTAACTTCTTAGCAACTTTGAAATTACGTGCTTCTGATTTTGTTTTATACAAAAAGAAGACTTCTGCAATGAATATTACAGTTGATAATAAATATCCGACAACAAGGATCATAAACATTTGCTTTAATATTGTTTGCGACTCTTTACTTTTGTTAAAACAGTGAACATTCGTGACTGCATTTTTCACCATTCTCTTCCTATATGGAGATTTCCATTTTTGAGCAATTCCAGACTGGATCATTTTTTGTAGTACAAAGTTGATCCTTTTCACGTAAGGAGATCGAGGAGTGAGCACTGTCTGACTTATGGAATGAGAGAGATGATCATTCTCCAATAGCTTTACTTTTGGCAAAAGACACTTGTCATTGGCATTTCGTAGAAGAAATTTAGCATTCATTGAAAATGCTACGCAGACGATATTTTTCTTCGTGACTAATTGTTCTAGACATTTTGCAGATAATCTCTCAGCTTTAATAGCTTTATCTATTAAAGTTTGGACTTTTGGTGAGCCGAATATTTGCAGCAACCGATAATAGTTTATATTGATTTCAATGTCTAGATCTGATTGCAGTACGTCGTCGATTGATTGTAAGGAGTAGGTGGTTTTCTTCTCCAAACCGATGTCTGTAAACGTTGTATAGATGACTGATGAATATAGAGTGCATGTTACTAACATGAAGATGAAAATAATCTTTTCTTGTAAATTCCGAGGTTCACGCGGTACTGCTGCTCCTAACAAGATTTGGATCATATATGTCAACTTTAGATCCTCAATTTTGATTTTAGCAATTCGCATGCATATCCAAATTATCACGGGTAAAATAATGAGGGCAAATAGGTTTAATAATTTCCAATAGTCGTTCAATATGTAGGACTGCTTTGCGAAAATTGGTACAACCAAGCATAACTCAGCCTTAGTAATTCCTGTACTCCATTCGAATATTTTGTTCTCACAGTCTGATAATTTTTGAAACTCCATTGAAATGAAGTGAGATTGTTTACTTATCATGTTGTAGTAAGCACCAGTGCTTTTGTTTTTATCTACGCAATTCAAGTAGCCCCAATTTTCAAGATACTCCGTTATTAGTCGGAAATTCATTATTTCCGATAAAGCATTTAACTTTTTCCATCCCAATCCTGAATACTCTCTACGACCCATTTTATCCATTTTTACAAAAATTTCTGGCTCATAAGCAGTTATGCTTACGGTCAGATTGTAACCGTGCAGATTTCGAGTTTTATCTGGAAACCACTCAACTTTAGGTGAGAATTTCTTAGACCGCGAAATATTCGTATGCGGATTGTAATAGTAAAGACGGATCTTCGGCAGACTTTTGGAAATTTCGTGATTCGTACCACCTTTTCTGGGGTAAACTGAAACTACAGTAGCATCCAAAAAGTCATGAGACCACATTTCACGAAGCAAACTGTTGCATTTTTGCAAAGTTATTTTCCTCGTGAAGATTACTAGAATCTTCGGTCGCGATCGATTTGGTTTAAGATTACTTACGAGGCTGAATGGCTTCTTCAGTGAAGAAAAATCCTGATCGTCAGCAATTAGCACAAAAAGCGCTTCTTGTGGATCACTGATTATCAGTTTTGAAAACTGATCGTCTGCTCCAGGTGAAATCTCCATCATCGCAGTAGGAAATCGCGACGCTATGTCTGACAAAGCATCATTTAAGTTGTGAATTTTTTCGATTTTATCTCTGCCTCCTAAAACAATCACTTGATTTACTTTTGCATCTTTTTCAATGTAATTCGTCAAATGTTGCGACCATTTGACATCATGACACAACTTGTGGTTAATTAAGAGAATTAACAGAAAAATTGAAACTTTGGAAATCATTGTTTTGGCGAAAATGTCCAAGTCGTATTAAAGATTCTTTAAAAAGTTTCCATTATAGAATGCAATCTTGTCTTACAGATTGACACCGTATCAACAACTAAAAGGCCAAATTCAAACTGAGACTTTTTGAAAACAGTGTTATTCTATTTCTGAAATATTGATTCAACTAAGTGAAGAGTTGATAGGAAAGATGGGTTATAATTTAACGCCGTTTTGTACTGAATGTTCTTAACCTACTTTTTCATGCACTGTAATTATAATCTTACTTTAGACAAACTTGTAATTGTAAAATATACAAAAATGAGTTGTTAGCAACTATGTTGATTGATATTTTTAGCG